AGCTTCTGTGTATGTTCTCACTCATTTATTCCCATTATTGATATTTTGTATTTCCAGGGCATATGTGTCAAAACTAGGAAACTGCATTAGTTTATTACTGTTGATGACAAACTTTCTTGGGATTTGACCAGTTTTTCTATTAGTATTGTCTTTCTGCTCCAATCCAGAGCAGGTACCACACTGCATTTAGTTTATGTCTCCCCCATCTATGGCAATCCTTTAGCCTTTCTTTATTTTTTATGACCTTGAGAGTCTTGAGGAGCACTGGCTAAGTACTTTGTAGAAATGTCCCCCAAACTGTGTTTTCTCATGACTAGACTGAGGATATCATGTTTTTGGGGGAACAACCCCCAGAGGTGAAGTGCGCTTTTTATCACACACAGCAGGGGCCATATATATGCATATATTACTGCTGATATTAACCTTCACCACATGGTAAAGATAATCTTTTTCCTTTCCCTATTCTATTCTCTGGAAGCAAGTCAGTAAGTTTAACCTATCTTCCAAGGGTAGATAAGCCCTAACTCCTAGAGTATTATCTACATAAATTATTTACTTAGCATTTACTATCTACATAAATTATTTCTTATCTAACAACTTTGTTTTCTGTTTAAGAGCTTGTGGGGAAAAGCTTTTAGACCACTCAGTGGTTGTTCCTATCCATTCAGTAGCCTATGCAGTGGGAATGCAGCCCACTCTTTAGTGGCAGGTTGAGTGCTTGTTCAGTTGGGACCTGCTGAATAGGCACAGAATGCTCGTGCGTAGCTGTGACTCAGGATGAGCAGGAGTTAACTCAGGAACTGGAGTAGTCTACCTGCCTGAAATTCCCCGTGGGCCAGTCTTTTCAGAAGTGACTATTCTTTTTCAGTCTTTCTAGGATCTCTGTAGAAGTAGAGATTAAGCTTGACTTCCCATGGATACTCACTGGAGACCACACAGAACTTTCTAGACCAGCATCTACATCAGACTCACTGAGTAAGCATCCTTGTTGCATGGATGCCAATGTACATGTGGCACAGATGAGGAGCCATTACACAGAGCAGTGGCAGTAGGCATGTTAACAAATGATGCTTGTGAGAGGCTGGTGATCTGTCCTGGGATTGGTAACCTCTAAAAGGCATGGCTCTAGAGGGTTGCCTGGATCTGGCCAGTGAAGTTTCCAAAGGTAAAATGTAGCACTGAGTGACTACAGTGGCACTAGCAAACCTCAGCAAAGTGTGCTAGCTAGTATTCCTAGAGGATTTGAAGCTGCCACCAGCTGAGTTCTCAATGGCAACAATGTATGAGCCACTAGCATGTTTTCTCCCAGGTTTTCTTCAGATTCGAGTCTATCAACTAACCTTTTTAGATGTACTAGTGCTCTTGGAAGTCAAGGTTGGTGCTGAGTTTCTGCTGCTAAAATTTGAGGACATCCTCCTCCTTCACATGGTGAGGTTTTTATTATTTTTTTAATCACTTAGCAAAATATGTTGGCTTTTCTGGGGTGGGTTGGGTTAGCTGAGCAATAACTTTTTTTTTGGTACTGGGTCTTGAACTCAGGGCCTCACACTTGCTAAGCAAGTACTCTACCACTTGAGCCACACCTGCAGCCCTAGCAAGGATTTTTTTACTTGGCAAAGGAGGATGAAGTATGTGAAACAGAAAAGGGAAAGAGGAGCACCTATTGCCTGACACACAGGAGGTGGGAGCAGAGAACTCAACAAAATGTTTTTGAGGTTTATCTACATTGTCACATGTATCAGTACTCTCTTGTATGGAGATGTCAGTGCAAGACCATTTACCAGTTAATGGCCACTGAAAATATGAACAGCACTGTTAAGAACATTTGCCAAAATTCTTCACATGAACATACCTTCATTTTTCTTAATGTGAAAATACCCAGTGGAGTCGGGTGATAATATGGCAAACTTACGTTACACTTTTATGGGTCCAGTACACTTTTGCTGTGCAACTCTCTTAACTTTTAAAGAAACTGTCACACTAGTTTCCAAAGGGGCCCTATGTTTGAAAAGACCATCTTTTTTCATTGAATTGTCTTGGCATCCACTATGGTTTGGCTGAAATGTCCCCCACAGGCTCATGTATAGAAGCCTAAGTCCCCAACTAGTGGCCCTATTTAGGGAGGTACTGAAAACTTTAGGAGGTGGGGCCTAGCTGGAGGAAGTAGGTCACTGGGGGTGGGGAGGGAGGGAGTTAGTCCTTTGCTTACTGTGTCCCTGGCTCCTTCCTGTCTGCCATGATATGAACTGCTCTATTCCACCATGCCTTCCGTGCTAGGCTGGACCAATATTTCTGAAACTATGAGCCAAAATAAATCTTTCCTTCCCTTAGGTTGCTTCTCTCAGGTATTGGGTCACAATGATGCAACAGGGAGTTAGATGAAGCACCTTTGCTGAATATGAGAGGGTTTACTTCTGGACTATCCTGTTCCATTAATCTATACACCTATATTTTTATTGACATACACTCAACTTTATAACACTTTTTTAAAACAGTATTTTCTTTTGTTTTTGTGGTACAGGGGGTTTGAACTCAGGGCCTTGGCTGAATAAAACTCCATTGAGCATATATACCACATTTTCTTTATCCATTGACCTGTTAATAGGCACCTAGACTGATTCTATAACTTGGCTACTGTGAATAGTGCTGTGATAAACAGGAATGTGAAGGTGTCACTATTGCATGCTGACTTTGATCAGCATATGTACCCAGGAGGGGTATACCAGGATCATAGTAGTTCTATTTTTGGTTTTTGAGGAGCCTCCATTATAGTATGCTTTGAAATCAGAAAGTGGTCTTCATTTCCTAAATTGTTTTTGGCTATTCTGGACTTCTTGTATTTCCATATAAATTTTAGGACCAGCTTATCAATTTTTCAAAAAAGCCTGTTGTGATTTTTCCCCCAAACCTATAACTGCATGTTTATTTTTCCTTCATTAGCTTATGTAGGCCTACTTTATTCTTATTTTAAATGTACAAATTTGTAGGGTACAATGCAACAATGTGAAACATGTATACAGTGTACAATGATCAAATCAGAGTAATTAACATTTCTATCTATCATCTATCTTTCTATCTATATCTATCTATCATCTATCATCTATCTTTTGGTGATGGCACAGGGGCTTGCTAGACAGGTGCTCTACCACTTGAGCCATTCTGTCAGCCCTTTTTTGGTGTTGAGTGTTGAGTATTTTTGAGATAGGGTCTCACTTTTTGCCCAGGCTGGCCTCAAACTTTGATCCTCCTGTTCTCTGCCTCCTGAATAGCTATGGTTACAGGGGTGAATGACTTAATTTTTTTTTTTTAACCTTTAACACAGTTAACTGACAGGGAAATACAAATGAAAACCAAAACGAGATAAGCCCAGGTAACTAGGAGTGTGCATTAGTGGTGTGCATTAGTGGCAGACTATTTGTCTAGCATGCACAAGGCCCTGGGCTTAATTCCCAATGTTGCCAAACCCAAAAACCCTGAAAAGGATAAAAAAGAAAATCTGGTGAGGTTGTGGAGAAAAGGCAACTCTTACATAGAGGTGGTAAATTAGCACAGCTACCATGGAGAACAGTTTGGAAGTTTCTTAAAGGCTAAAAATAGATCTATTGTATGATCCAGCTATCCTACTACTGGGTATATATCGAAAGAAAATATAATCAGAATATCTTAAGAGACACCTCATGCCCATGTTTATTGCTACACTATTCCCAATAGCTAAAATACAGAATTAACCTAAATGCCCATCAATGGATGACTGGATAAGCAAAATATGGTACATATACACAATGGAATACTATTCAGTCATAAAAAGAAAACAGCAAAACAAATGGAACCAGAGGATATTATGTTAAGCAAAGTAAATCAGACATGGACACATATTTTAATGTTTAGAAAAAGTCAATGTATAATGGCATTACTAGACGTTAGAAAGGGTGCTGGGGAGGGAGTATAGAGTGGTTGTATAACAGGCACCAAACACAGATAGAAATAATAAGTTCTAGTGTTCTACAGCACATTGGGGTGATATAGTTCACAATAAACTATCATATACTTTATGAATAACTAGAAGAGAAGAGCTCAAAGACTCCAAGTACTAAGTAATGCTAAAGAGATGGAAATATTAATTACTCTGATTCATCAATACATACTGTATTCATGTACTGATATCACACTGCTGTGATTTTGATAGGGATTACATTGAATCTATACATTAATTTGGGGATAACTGCTATCTTAATAATATTGGACCTTCCAATTTGTGAATATGGAATGTCTTTATGTTTACTTACACCTTTTTATCTTCTTTTGGTGGTACTGGAGTTTGAACTCAGGGCTTCGTGCTTGCTAGGCAGGTACTCTACTACTTGGGCTGCTCCACCAGCTCACTTACACCTTTTTAAATTTATTCTCTGAGTAAATCTTTTGTTAGATTTATTCCTAAGTACTTATTCTTTTTGGTGTTAATGTGAATGGAATTGTTTTCTTAACTTTGCTTTTGGATTTTTCATTTCCTGTACACAAAAACACGGTTGTTTTTTGTATATTGATAAAACTTGATTAGTTCTAGTACACTATTATTTTTTGTTGAGGATAGATTCTCATCTAGTTAGATGAAGTAAAGAAATATCAAAGGTGCCCCAGAACAACAGGATAGCAGCAGGCTTTGCTTGGCGTTTTACATCTGCCTTATTTACAGAGAACAGAGCTGAAATTCACAAAGGTGACTTGGCCACAGAGCTAACAGATCTCAACTTCTTGGTCCACTGAGATCCCTATTCCCTCAGAATGCTTTCTGGTCCCTTTCCCTTATTGGGCTTTGTCAGCTGTCATTTTCTCCTGTGTCAAAGAGTACAGATTCACAATTTTTTTTTTTTTTTTTTTTTTTTTTTGTGGTATGAGGGCTTGAACTCAGGGATTATACCTTGAGCCACTCCACCAGCTCTTTTTTTGTGTGTTAGATATTTCTGAGATGGGGTCTTGTGAACTATTTGCCCAGGGTGGTTTTGAACCACAATCCTCCTGATCTCTGCTTCCTCAGTAGCTAGGATTACAGGTGTGAGCCACGGGTGCCCGGCTCTCCTGTTTTGATTTGTGAGGTTAACCATGGTGCTCAGGACCATGTTACAGAACACTGACTTAGTCTTTTTAAAAGCCTTTTAGATTGGAAATCTAAAGGGCTTCATCTCAGATTACATTTCTTGAACTAATTATTTGCTTACATTGGAAAGCCAAAATTATAATTTTTTTCAATGTTTTGGTCAACTGATACAATGGCTGGAATCATCCAGAAAAATTTAGAGGTCATTACATTTTCTTGAATATTCATTCAAACTGGATGTGGTATACATGCCTGTAATCCCAGCTACTCAGGAGGTAGAGGGAGAATTGTGAGTTTGAAGCTTGTCAGGGCAAAATTTAGCAAGACCCTCTCTTAAACTAAATACAAACAAAAGGGCTGGGGGTGTAGTGTTAGTGGTAGAGCACTTGCCTAGCAAGTGCAAGATCCTTGTTTCAATCCTCAGTGCCACACACAAATTGCATGTTCATTCAAGTTTAAAATTAGGACTTCAATTTTCCTTTTCAAATGAAAAGACTATGTCTTGTAGCTAGGGATGCAAAAGCTTGGTTATTCTTGTTGGAGTAATTGTTCTCCTCTGTCTCGGGAAGTTATCTTCTACAGTTAGAGACTGCAAGATCCTGAGAAACCTGAGCAGGTAATGATCATTTTTTTCGAACAAAGCCAGTTATCAGTCATCCATCATGGGACCCTCATTGTGGGTAGAATTCCATATGTGATAAGTAAAAGTTCGCGTATTCAGTCTTCCTGAATATATCTGTAAGAAAAAAAAATAGTTTGAGCAAAACACCTAAAATATTTTACCAGCTACTTGTAGACACCGTATTGCCTTACCAATATATGTTCCATTCCTTTTCTATTGTATAGCAACAGTGGTTTGGGTGTAAGAGACCACCCAGCTTTCATTCAACCCCAGGGGTAGGCTTTGACTATCTAGCAACTGGAAATCCCTTTTTTTTCTTCTGTCCCTCGCCATTAAAATCTTTAGACTCAAATAAATTTACCTTGGTTTATAAAAATAATAAAAACAACAACAAAATATATCCACCTACTCATAACCATTTCCATTTCTCATATGAATAATTATGTACTAATGCCTCATTCATTCTCAATTCTTTATAATACTGACAAAGTCTGGGCCAAGATTTACCTTTTATTATGTAAGCAAATAATAATGTAAATAAACAGTGATCACAGGGGACTGATACATCCACTTGAAACAGTAATTGTTGAAAGTCATTAAAAACCACTTTAACACCAGTTTACATACAAGTTTAAAATATGCTAATTTGCATCCATTAAAGAAGGTCCAGAAGAACTTCTAGTTAGGGACAGTCTGTCTGATAAAGAAACCAATGGACACTGGATGTCCTGACCTGTGGAGTATAATTAATTTGACCTAACATTCACTAAAATAAAACATCCCAACTTTAAGAACCTTTGAATGCTATGCTTAAACAAGCCAACCTGAGCTTACTCCTTAAGTAAAAACCTTTGTTGTATGGGGTCCACAGGATCACTGGAAAAGACCACTGGGGTATAAATTGGGAGGCAGCTACAGTTAATTCCTTACATTTTGTTGTCTAGCAGGTTTGATACAGGAATGCCGGAAATTGAACCCAGGGCTTTGTGCATACAACTAAGCAAACATTCTACCACAGCTACATCTCTAGCCAATTCTTTCTTATTGCCAAGATACCTTTCTCAAACATCCTTCCTGTGTATTTAAGGGTTTGCTTAAGGATCATTTTATAAAAATTCTAATAATAAAAGTGAAGTGATATATATCAAGTATGCTTCAAGGAAGGAGATGGGATTAAAGGTATATTTTGTGTGCAATTCTAAACTGCTTAATTAAAATTTTATGAAGAGTTTGTATTGCTTTTATAATTAAAAAATTAAAAAATTTAAAACATAAAAGGAAATGCTTCCTGAGAGGGTTTCATTCGTGGTTTAGGATAAATTTCTTCAATTGCAACATTAAATCTGTATCTAGCTAAGCACAAGGGAGCATATGAAATGAGAAAGGAGGAAGAGATAGAGAGGGGACACTCTGATGGTCAGTTCTGAAAAAGGCAATGACTTGGGATAGAAGAGAGCTATGTAATCTGGGAGCAGGGTTTGGACTCAACAAAGCCAGACATGTGAGTTCACCTGCTTATCTGCACATGATGGCTGGTAGGCAGTAATGCCACTGAAAGGGGCAGGAGGGTGAGGATGTTCAGAGTGGATCACTGCAGTAGTTGGGCTGAAGTAAATTACTGCTTCCTGGGAAGAAGCTTATCTGATGGGACATGTGAGATGGCTTGGGCTTCAGTAACTGATATTGGGGAGTTTCCTGGGATGCAAGAAATGGCACTAAAAACTAGACCCTACAAAGGAGGAACAGCAACAAGGATGGAGCACAAAGTACGAGTAGATGGGGGCTGGCAGAGTGGCACAGGTGGTAGAGTGCCTGCGTAGTAAGCATGAGGCTGGAGTTCAAGTCCCAGTAACATAAAAAAAAAGAGTAGATAGGGAGTGACTGAGGCAGCTGAAAACTAAGGGATAACATGTTCTTCCCTAGCAATCTGAGAGCATGTTGAGGTCTGTACTTGGTTTTTAAAATTTCTACCATGAGAGCTGGGCATGACGATGCACACTTGTAATCTCAGCACTGGGGAGGCTGAAGCAGGAGGATTGAGAGTTTGAGGCCAGCCTGGGCTACATAGGAAGGCTCTGCCTCAAAAAACTAAAAAAATTCTAACATGGGGCTGGAGGAATAGCTCAGTGGTACAGTATTTGTTTAGCATGCATAAAGCTCTGGGTTCCATCCTCTCTTTCTCTCTCTCTCTTTTTTTCTACCCTCTCATCCCTCTGTCCCTCTCTCTCTCCTTCCCTCTCTCCAATATGAAAGCAAAACAATCCAACTCACCAGTTTGGTTAACAGATGGTTTTAAATATGATGGTTAAACTCTCAAGGTCTTCATTCTTTAAATGTAATTCTTTGAGCAGAGTTGCTATAAATTGTGTAAACCTCATATTTTCTGGAGAATGCTTCTGAATGCCAAGAATTGGGGTCAGTCTGAAACAAACAAATACACTCAATGTTTATGTAACAAATGAAAAGAGCTAAGGGACACTCATCTTTAACAAGGCATGGAGGATTTTGTGGGATGAGGATTCTGATGGAAGAAAATGTCCAGAGCCAGGCGATGGTGGCTCAAGCCTATAATTCTAGGAGGATCGCGGTTCGAAGCCAGCTCAGGCAAATAGTTCATGAGACCCTATCTCAAAAAACCCTTCACAAAAATAGGGCTGGTGGAGTGGCTCAAGGTGTAGGCCCCGAGTTAAGCCCCAGTACCACCAAAAAAAAAAAAAAAAAAAAGAAAGAAGATTCCCAGAGACTTTTCTAACAAAGGCAGAGGAAAAGTCTCAGGAATCTCCTAACAAGTTCTTCATTATACCAGCAAAAAACTACTAAAGTTCTATTTAATGAATGAACTCCTTCTGCTAGGGAATGGCAGTGTGGAGAAGAGCTTAGAGGTTAGTATTTCTTTAAAACCATTATTTATTTTGAATGTCTGGATTATACCACCTGAATAAAGACAACAAATAAGTAAGATTACCTTTTGGTAAAACTGTACATTTAAATGTCAAGATGCTAAACAAATGAATTCTATCTTACAAGGCATTTAATATAAATTTCATATGGAACAAAATGTTTTTGTTCTCTATTTCTGTTAAATAACCCTAAGGATTGATTCATTAAATATAACAGAATCTTTACAATAATTTTCACTGATATATGATCAGTAAGTTAGAAGGAATTGAACCTTAGGGCCCCTTACACTGCTAGGCAAGTGCTCTACCACTGAGCTACATCCCCAGATCTAAGGTTTTAAAAAAGTTAAGTGGTATAGGAGATTCAAAATTTGTTGAATGGAAAGATGGCAAGCACTCACATCCTACTCCAGAAAGAACCAAAGTAACAGGTATACAGCTGCATTTTGGGGCAAGAGACTGTGAGAGAACACCGGAAATCGAAGGGACTGAAACCTTATTCCTGGACAACAGCATAATGAGAGAAAGCAAATACCCTGCACTCAGTTCCACAATCCAAGGAGGGACAGTTTTCCCTTTGTGGGCTAAGAGCTGCATAAAACCTTATTAGTACAGATAGGAGCATTCCTAGCTACTGGAAGAGTTTATAATCCTCAAAGGTCATCAGTCCATTTAGATAAGTAATCTGGAATCTGACAAGGAGCCTTGCTTTTGAAAAGGATCTCACATCATCTCTCAGTGACCTCCCAGGGTGCTGTAGCCAGGAGCTACCTTGAGAAATGAGCTATTATATGAGTTCGGACTGCTCTAGGGTTTGGAAAACCTCTGCATAGTTCCATCTCTGGGTCTCCAGACATTCCTGCGTATTGACTTGAGGATCACCTCTGCTCAACTTGGCCTAGGAGAGTGACTAGGACCTAAGCCCACTAAGTGCTCAGCACTGTAGGGAATGGGAATTATTACACAAAGAATGAAAGGTGCCAACTTTGAGAACTAGGAGATCAGGGTGCTTACTCTCTGAGACCAAGGATGTGGCAAGCTGCATAGAGGGTCTCTGCTCTTATGTGGCCTGCAGAGATAGCCTCTCTGACTGTATCACTCTTCCCAAAGTCATTACTCACAACAAAAGAAACTATATGGAGACTACACTATGGTGCCCCACTAAAATCAAAGCCAACACTGCATAGCAAATTGGCATTCAAAGGCACATCTTCAAGAGAAAGCTGCTTACTAAAAAGGCCATCTGATAAAAGTGGTTGCGGTATCTGACCCAGCAGATGTGCAAATCTCAGTGTAAGAAAACAAGTGATACAAAAAAACAAAACAAAAAAACCAAACCAAACCAAACCAAAACAAGGTAATATGCCTCCAAAAGAACATAACTCTTTTGTAACAAATTCCAAACAATTCAAAATGGATGAAATGCCTGATAAAGAATTTAAAAGAATGATTATAAAATAGCTCAATGAATACAGATGTTTAAATGTAATTGGGAAAACAATACAGTTATGAAATGAGAAATGAGAAATTAAACAAAAAGAGAGATTTTGAAAAAAGAACGAAACTCAAGTAAAAAATACACCTGAAAGGCTCAACAACAGAGCAGATCAAATAGAAGGATATATGAACATAAGATCTTTTGAAATATCTCAGTCTGACCACACTAGACCAAACAACATAACAACACACACACACACACACCAAAACCCCACCAGAATGAATGAAGGAGAGTATTCAAGATCTATGGGACACCATTAAATGAACAAACATCCCTTATTTTCAGAATACCCAAAGGTGAGGAGAAAAATGTTCAGGATATAGAAAACCAAAGCAGAAAACTTCCTTAATCTTGGGAAAAATAGGGATATCCATGCACAGGAGGAAGACATGAAAAGAAAAGATATTCATTCTGGCCTAATACAGCAAAACTAAAGTACAAGAGAAATAATTTTAAAATCAGTAAGAGAAAAGCATCAAGTTACATGTAACAGGATCCCCATCATGTTAGCTTTCATTATTGTGACACAATACTTCAACCAATCAACTTAAAAAGGAAAAGAAGTTTTTTTTGGGCTCAGTTTCAGAGGTTTCAGTTCATGGTCACTTGGCCCTATTGCTTTGGAACTACAGTGGCACAGAACATCATGGTGGGAGCATGGGGCAGACAAGGCTTATTCATCTTGTGGCAGCTGGGAAGCACACAGAGAAACAGGAAGGGGCCAGGGTCTTAATACTCCTTTAAAAGGCATGTTCCTGATGATGTAACTTATTTCCATTAAACCCAACTTCCTAAAGATTCCATCACCTTCCAATAGTGTCATGGGCGTGGGACCAAGCCTTCAACACATGGGCCTTTGGGGGACATTCATGAATCTAAACTACAGGATCTACTAGACTAATAGCAGATTTCTTAGCAGAAACTTTACAGGCTAGGAGGGAATGAAATGACTTGTCTCAATTCCTAAGAGAAAATAACTGCCAAGCAAGATTATGCTAAAGGTATGGGTTAAGTGCTAGAGTGCTTGCTTATTAGCAAGTGCAATGTCTGGAGTTCAAACCCCAGCAAAATAAAAAAACATAATTACAGCAATATCATTGTTCAGAAATGAAGGAGAAATAAAAACTTTCCAAGGCAACGAAAAACAGAGGGAATTCATGGCTAGTAGATCAGGCTTGCAGAAGATACTTAAAGATAACTACCATCATGAAAGCATGCAAAAGTGTAAATCTCACTAGGAGATACTCAAAAGAGAAATATAAAAGAATCAAACATTATCAATACAGTAAACCATCAAGCCACAAAGATGAACCAGAGAGGAAGAACAGAGAATATTCAAAACAAGTAGAAGATAAACAGCAAAATGATAGCAATAAACCCTTTACTTATTAATAATAACCTTGAATGTAAATTGATTAAATTCCCCAATTAAAAGATACAGACTGTGTGGATTTAAAAACATGTCCTGCTGGGCATGGTGGCATATGCCTGCAAAGCCAGCACTCAGAAGGCTGAGGCTGTAGAGTGAATTTGAGGCCAGCGTGAGCTATTATAAACTCTATTTAAACTCTGTCTAAACAAAACAAAACAAAACAAAACAAAACACAAAACAAGATCAAACAATATATTATCTACAAGAAACTCACTTCAATAGTAAAGATACATACAGGGCTGGTAGAATGGCTCCTGTGGTAGAGTACTTGCCTACCAAGGTCCTGAGTTCATACCCCAGAGTTCATACCCAGTACACCAAAAACAAAAACAAAACAAAAAGACCAAAAAACCCCCTCACAGACTGAAAGTGAAAGGATGGAAAATGATATTCCAAGCAAATCAAAACTATGCAAGGAGGAAGCAACTACACTTTTATCTATCAAAATAGACTTTATGATAAAAACTATAAGAGACAAAGAAGGTCACTATTCAAGAAAAATATAATGGTACATCTATATGTACCTAATACTGGAGCACTGTATTTTATAAAGCAAACACTGCAGACCTATAGGGAGAGGTAGTATAATAACAGTGGGAAAGTTCAACACCCAGACAAAAAAATCAAAAAGAAACACCAGAGTTTATCTATACTATCAAATGGACTTTACAAACATTTACAGAACATTCTACCTGACAGCTGCAGAATACTTATATTCTTTTCATCAGTACATGAAACTTTCTATAGAACGGACCATATACTAGGCCACAAAGCAAGTCTTAAATTAAAAAAAATTCTTGTGTCTTTTCTGGTCGTTATAGAATAAATTAGAAGTTAACAAAAGAAATGTCAAAAATTGTACAAATGCATGGAGACTGGACAATATACTTTGAACAAACAGTGGGTCACTAAGGAAGTAGAAGGAAATTAACAATTTTTTGAAACTATTAACATCTTAAAACTTCAGCAAAAGCAGTTGTAAGAGGGAAGTATATAGCAACAAGCACCTATTAAGAAATAAATTTCATACGAACAAGGTAATGAAGCATCTCAAGTATTTAAAAAGAACAAACCAAACCCCAAATTAGCAGGAGCAAAATAGACTGGAGGTGTGGTTCACCTGCTTTGCAAGTGTGAAGCCCTGACTTCAAACCCCCAACCCCCCCCCCCCACCAAATCAAACAGAAAAGGAGACAACCAACTTGCAGAAGTACAAATGGCCATTAGGGATTATTATAAAAGTATATGCCAACAAATTTGAAAACCTAGAACCGGACAAATTTCTGGATACATATGACCTATCAAAATTGAAGGAGGAGAACATAAAAAAATCTGAATAGACTAATAACAAGTAATGAGTTTAAATCAGTAATAAATTCTCTCAACAAAGAAAAGCCCAGGAATGTATATCTTCACTGCTGAGTTTTACCCAATTCCCCTTCTCCTTTAAAAATTAGTGTATTTTAATTGTATAAAATAATGGGCTTCATTATAACATTTTCATACATATATGTAATATATTTTGGCCATATTTACTCCCTATTACTCTCATGTATCCCCTCCTACCCATCCCCTTTCTCTTCTTCAATAG